GACTGATTCACGGCTAAAATCAGAGCCATCTGATCGCGTAGAGGTTCATGTTTGTGACGATGTTTCTCAGTGTATCGATGTAATGTTCATCTGCGTCGAGTGGGGATCCTCCAAGGGAGGTCTGCCCACTTTCAACAGGGAGTTTGCTGTGAATCTGGCTAAAGAATCAAGTGAGCAGATTAAGGTTCACTGCTACGTCTGCAAAAGTAGCGAGGAAGACAGAGCCGATGCCAGAAAACAAGGAGTGAATTTGATCACTGCACGACCTCTTCCAGGATGTAATGATCCGATGGAGTGGTTGAGAATACCACCGCCGGAGCTTCCAACTCCGGATGTTGTGGTGGGCCACGGTAGGAAGTTTGGCAACACTGCCCTTTTTATTTCGCTTACGACACAATGTAAGTGGATACATTTCGTACATGTATTCTGTGAAGAACTGGGAAAGCACAAATTAGAAGTCGACTCCTCATTTGATGCAATTGCAGACAACGAAGAGAAGAACAAGCGAGAATTAGAGCTTTGCGAAGCAGCTAATCTGGTTGTTGCTGTGGGCTCTCGACTACAAAGGAAATACAGAAAATGTCTTCCTGATATCAAAGTAGAAGTCATCACTCCTGGAATTTTCGAAAACTTCTTAACTCCGGCAACACCATTGGCCAACGATCAATCGGCGGGGGCTGAAGAATTCAGTATATTCATGATTGGTCGCGGAAGTTTTGAGGACTTTGCCGTCAAAGGATATGATATTATTGGAAAGGCAGTGGCTTTTCTTGACAGGAAGTTTAAACTGACCTTTGTTGGTTCACCAAAGGATGAACAGAGGAAAATAGAAAATTGGTTTCGAAAGGAAACAAACATAGCGCGCAACCAGTTGACCATCCGTGGCTATCGCAATCGTGAAGAAATGAAGAAGATGTTTCGTGAAGCTGACTTGATCGTTATGCCTTCACGTAGTGAAGGGTTTGGTCTGGTTGCCCTGGAAGCAATTTCAGCTGGAGTGCCAGTTCTTGTTTCCAGTGAATCTGGGTTGGCTGAAACTCTAAAGAAAGTGGATGGTGGGATAACCGTGGTAGTCGATTCAGATGAGCCAGGAGACTGGGCAAGAAAAATCCAAGAGTTATTCGAGCAGACGCCAGAAGGAAGACATGCTAGTGCCATGCATCTCAGAGAAAACTACGGAGAGATTTATACCTGGGCGAAGGAGTGCAAGAGATTTGAACAGATGATCCATGGATTGATTCAGAGGCCTTGTAGAGCTCTTCCTTCAAGTTGTGTATTGACAGGTACACTTTTAGATATTTTACTTGATTATTCCTAATACATATTACAAATTGAACATAGGAGTTAAACAAGTGTCAAATTGTGGTACCTGTCTGTGGGAGGTTAAAGGTGTTGTGTTTATGTATGTGAGTAAAAGAAAGCAAACTAAAACCTGAATGCACAGTGTGCAATATTATTTCAAAAGCTGTTCACAAGGTCTCTTATTAACCATATTCAGACTGGAAGGTGAATGGGGAGTGGGGGCAGAGGGGAGAGGGAATGTTGCCTGCTCTGTCTTCAGCCATTTATAATTTTTTGAGCAAGATCATGAAGGATGGTCAACAATTGTGTGGGGTATGGTAGTTCTTCATCAAAATGTTGTGTATAACATGTTTAAATATATTATTGTGCTGACTTGCAATGTATTTTATTTATTGTTTTATCAGACCAAACGGGAAATATTGTCACTGTGAAGGTGGAAGCAGTTACCTCTGCACAAGATAAAGGATTGGTGCAGACAAACAGGGGAAGAAATCCATTATCAGGTCAGTGCAGTTAAGGTTTCAATGAGTGCCTGGGGCTGGCAAGCCGGCTAGTTGAGATGATTTTGCCTCCTACTTTGACTGGGAACTTAAGTCTGGTTCTCACATCCCGCCAACCTACCTGCGACGTAGTCACCGGTTGCAACTGATTTTGTTCGGCGATCTGTTCCAGTGAGTCCCCAGTGCATCTGTGATGCATCGCTGATGTTCTGAAATTTGCGTGAAATGCAAATTGAATTGATGCAATTTTCAACCGCTCCATCTGTAAATAAAGAATTGCAGAAAAAATCGACTTGTTACATTATACATTGCGTCCGCAGATGATGCTCATATAAAATATTTTCATCGCCGACAATTGCCAACAACTGCAGGTAAGCCAGCAGTCAATGCCTCAGGGACAGATTATGATTCGCTGATAAATGTTTACATATGCCGTAATGTTCCAGGTATGTCGGCGGCCTATGAGAACCAGGCTTTACCTCAAATTTTGAGAATAGCATGAGAAACATTTTGCTGCAGAACATAAGCCTTGGGTCGGCCAAGATTTATTCATGAAAAAAAGGGGCTACCCTATGCGTACATGAATCAAATTTGACAGCACATCCACATTTTCCACAATGAAGCATGATGAGGCAGAGGCAAGTTAGGCTATATTGCTGTCTTTTATTGCCACTGCTGGAAATGATATTGATTTTGAATTTTTTTTTTTTTGAAATTAACTACATGCAATAATAAAATTACAATTGATTCATTTTATTACAGTGCAGTTAAATAGAATTGTAGGCCAAACATGATGCTGCAATGTAACAAATAGTTAAGGAATGAAAAGCATCTATGTTGCATCTTATATGTGAACTTCCAAAGAGACTTATCTTGCAATCAGAAAGTTTTCAATACACTCTTGTTAATAGACCCTTTTTTTTATAAGTGGTTGCCAATTCAAAAATTATTCTAACTTTTGTATGCATTTAGATTAGCATCACTCAATTAAACTTGTTCGAGAGTAAAAATTTTTAACCTACAGTACAAATGAATTTTTAATCAGCAGCCATTTATGACAACAGTCTTTAAAGTGTATAATGACCTCCAACAAAATCACTTTTGTGTGCTAGAAATGCAGCAGAATGCACCTCAATGCACACAGATTTTCAAAATTTGCAAGGCCCTGTAAGCACCCCATCTCTCTCAAGCAGGAGTGGGTAACCCACTTCGGGACTTTTTCCCCACATGGCCGCCTTTATTGTGACCAGATGTGCTCCACGTACCTCAGGATTTCCTCCTGCTACTTTGGTTCAACTTGAAAATCTGGAAGATGAGAGATAAATCCAAATGCAGTGGCTTAATATAGCACTTCCCATGGTGCCCAGATTGCA